TGCTATGTTATTAGGGTCATTGTGAAACAGCAGAGGCCACATGTGCAAACTTTTTGATGCCTATTTTTCAACAATGAATGAGTCATATGGTCATTTAAAAGATTTATTTTACTGGTGTTATTGATAATTTAAATGATAATGATGAATTATTAGACAAAGTGGGAATCTCAGTAATTGTCATATCATAGTATGAACTAGAACTTGAGTTTATTCTCTGTAGGAGTGGAGAATGGCCTACAGCTATATTGATCATTGTTAGGGTTTGATTTTTCTGTACGACCGTTACTAAGTATCCTTGAGCAGCACACTAATGCTATGTTCAGAATACATGCTGAAGTGGCACATCTGTTTTTGTGGTTGCATGGTCAGAGACTGGATATGAATCAGATCTAAGACAACTTATGCAAGTGGCCCTGATCTGATCTGATACAATTGGATCCGGTTTATCTGTGAAAACATCAGATCTGAATCTCTCAGAGAAAACTGTCAGATTGGGATTCATGTTGTTTCTTCAATGTCTCACTCCTCTGTGTATGTGCATATTGTCTGTTGTCATCATTCAGTGTCAGTCCCTCACAGGCTGGTTATTAATAAACATAAAGCAGAGCAACAACAGTGATGGGGGGTCAGTGGAGAGACGAGGACATTTTACTTGTGTCGAACATTTTATACAGAAGCTTGTGATCAACTCAAACTAGAAGGAGCATATTGTAACAGAGCAGTGGTTTGAGGGAATTGCACAGTTTGACCGTCACACAAATAACATTATTTTACTTATTAAACTCTTTTAATTTTGGGGAAATCACCACCATTATGGCAACGGGGAGTCGCAAAGTTAACAGTGTTATTTTTGTACACACACGACTGCTCACATTTCAGTTAAATCTGTGCATGCATGGCAGTTTAGGAGTGCAGTGGTGTTCAGACTGGAGCTGGATACATGTCACTTACAAACATGAATGCAAACCACAAACAGAAAAAAAATCAGATCTTATAAAAATATAATGAGTGGAATAGAGCATTAAGGCCTGTAATGTGAACGTAGGGCTTGTTCTCGCCTGCTTCAGGGGGTCAAACAATATGAGACCGACCCTACATCCAAACCAAAGGCTGAAGAGAATTTCCCACTTGGAAATTAATAAACTACTGCATTTTCAGTGAAATAAGGCATGAAAAATTTGGTGGTTGCAGGTCAGTAGACAGACTTGCATTTCACAAACAATTCAAGCCAAATGGATATTTGAAAAAATTTAACAATCACATGCTATATTTTATCACTGCCTTTATAACCAGTGGTGGGTTACCTATTCATCTCAGTAACACACCTCCAGGTGCAGAAAATAAAACTGTTACATGTCATGTATAGAGTATGTTAATTCTTTGCAGCTCATCGTCTGATCTTTGTGTGTTCAACTGGATGATCTAGTCCTGTGAAAAATTACAAACTGATATCTTCTTTTTCTAGATGCTCTTTCTGCTGTTTGACCGAATGATATTTGGACTAGATTGATGCAGTGATGATGCTGAACTGAATCAAAGCATGAGTAAAGAGGAGTTTCTAATCTTTTCATCTGACATTTTTATTAAATATGTCTTGGAGCAACCAAGGGCTCCTTTAAGTCCCTGCCAGAGTGACTTAAGGAAATCAGAGTCAGGGTTTTTGGGAGTCTGCATGGATTCATTAGGACCAGACTTGTCCACCTTCCTCTGCCAGAGAGGAAAAGGAGAACACAGAACATGGAGAGAGAAATGAATAAGAGGTAATGGCCAGAGAGCCAAGCGGAAGGGAGGAATGAGTGACCAGCCTCCCACACACAAAAACCAGGGACAGCGAGAAACAGAGTGGAAAGAGAAGCTAACCAGGAGAAGAGGAGCGCGACAAGCATGGAGTAGAATGAGAGAGCAGAAAGACTGAAGGAGAACAAAGAGAGTGAGCGAGTACTATGTGACAGTTTGACACCACAAATCAAACTAAGAATCGAAGTCAAGTAAAGAGACAACCGTTGCCAGGATCACTGCCAGTCTGGCTATTACCTATAGGCTATGGCATTCTAAAGCCATACTCTTTTCATTGAGGCTGTCACATCAAGGAGTGCTCTAAATGAAAACAGACCTCTTCCCTGTTTTTCCTTTGTAGTGTTTTTTTTTTCTTAGGTGAGGTACTATAGGTGGAGCTCGGTCCTTCTCAGCACACAGAGGGATGTATTGTAGACTTCATTCTATTGAGTGAAAGAGTTGCATAGGATCTCTGTTCCTTTTTTCCTCCAGTCACACACGCACACAGACACACACACACACACACACAAATAGTTCCTATGTAGAAAACACAGATGTGAGTGTGCGCACACTTACAAAAGGCATGCCCCTACAAGCCCACTTCATGATGGTGTGGATTTTGTGGCTGACTTGTGGTATTTGTGGATTTGAAGTGGTCTGAAGTAGTTGAAGAGATGTGGACAGTGACAGCCCAGCAGACACAGAGAGGGTTAGACAGACATGTCAGGCTAACACAGACAGCTACAGCTCGATATAAGCTTTCTTCAGCGTGTGTGCTCTTATTCACCTATGCCTTGCTTCATGTAATTCCATGCATTTTAACATGCGAGCCTCCTTGTACAACCATATTCACATGGTTCATACTTGTGATTTGGTATTGCTGAAGGACAGTTTGGGAGTGCTGTAGCTATTAATATGGGGGGCAGCTTTACTGATTGACTTAAGCATGCCCAGATTTTTTTTCCTTTTTTTTTTAAATGGCTCATGATCCAAACAAACAACATTTCAGTAATTACCTCACTTTTTTGGGCTCCATGCCACACTGCTGGCAAGACAGTCAGCACTCTGGCTCTCTGAGTTCCTGGGAGCCTGGTTGTGATGTAAATGTTATCTTACAGCATTGGTCCCAAATCTGCCACACAGCAGTAAGCACCTTTGTGTAAGGATTAGTAATGGCTAGTTCAGAAGAAGTGGAGAGAAAGAAGGAAGGAGTTACAGAGAGCTACCCCCACAACCCTTGAGATGCTTTGCACACCTCGATAAAGGAGCTTTTGGGTTTTGTTTGCTCATTTCCTGCCAAAAATCTTTATGGTCCCGAATGGCCTGATGCTGCACACCATTCAGTTTTCTCATTGGCGTCTTTTAGCATTCTTTACCCACGTTCCTGATTGGCAGATAGAATGGATCTACAATGTGCTGTAAAACCTCCGATTGGCTCAATGTTACTTTGTTATTGAAATCACAATTTGTGATTGGTTGTCATGCTGCTTTGATTCAACTGTATCCAGCCGCTTTTTTCTGAAGGAAGACAGGAACAGGACGAATACTGTTTCTGACGCAAACACTCACTGTGACTACAGATTACAGCTACTGGGAAGGATGGATTCCAACTACTTTTCCAGAACTATTAGCAGTGATTTTCTTCCATAAAAGCATGTGGCTCTTGTCAGTGGCTCTTGTCAGGATTCATGAACCAATTCATGTCAAAATAAAGTGATACAATAAATGGAGTAAAAAGTACAATATATGCCTCCAAAAAGTAGCGAAGGCAAGGTATTAAGTAACAGAAAATGAAAATACTCAAGTAAAGTACAGATACTTTACAGATAATTCACTTCAGTAGAGTATTTTTACTTTACATTAGATTATTTCACAGTGAATATTCAACAGTAACTTCCATGTTCTACTACAGTTTATATTTTCATAAAAATATCTTTCCAATACTTTTTAACAACACACCTTTTCTAATCATTAATAATATACACAGCTGCTGTAGATGGCAAAAATCATCCAAATCTCTTCATTGCCCTTTAAAAGTCCCTATATGAAATATACATGTTTTTTTCAGACCACTGTCTGAACCTTGATAGTGATTCAGCGAACTTCTTTCAACTCAGATATCACCTGCTGTGATGAAGAAATCTCACATGTACTTACTTAGGTACTCAACAAATACACCATCTGTTACAAATGCAATGCTATCAAAAGGAGCCATCCATACTATTGTTCCCACATAAAAATGAACGCTGGCAGTCTGAGCATGAGGAAACATTAGGAGACCTGACTTATCTCAACAATCGAGGTTTATTAACATGAGACAGCCTTTCGCTGGGCATCTGGTGAATTGTTATTTGATGTCACCTCATAGGAAGACATCCATTCTAATAACAGTTCCCTGTTCTTTCACCCTCCCTCTGCACTCTCCATTTGCTGGTCCTTTTGTTGTCTCACACAATCTCTTTCTCACCTTATGTGTGACAGATAGAAGGAACATAAAGAATAGAAGGGAAGAACTGATTTGTTGTGTCAGGTATAATAACTGATATCTGTATACCTTGCACTGGTGCTGGAAATTGTTCTGTTAAGAAAGGTAAGCTGCTCTTGAAATTTCCCTTTGGTGATACTGGCTTTTGTATTTCAAATCACAGGTGGCTTATTCTGTTCTCGCTCAGTTGACTCTCTCTGAGCGCCCTTGCTTGTATATGATTGTGCTGAGCTGAGCTGTGGTAATTCAGTGATGCTTACAAAGAGATTATAGCCGGCACTGGTGCAGATGGGTGTTGAGTTGCCTAGTTGAGATGGGCATACATAGGTTACAGAGTCATCGACTGCTTCCTGCGGGTGGCTCAAAAGGACAGTGTCACTTATCTGGTGACAGTTTAACCTAACAATCTGTTTGTATGTGCACTCAGACACACCTAGGCTCTTTTTCATGCAGAAGGATGCACACATCAGTGTCAGACAGGATTTATGCTCAGGCAAAGGCTAAGCGATCCAAAGTGTCTTTCAAAGAGAATAAAATCCTGCCTTTCCTTCGCTCTCATTTCTTCTCTTCTCCTGTTCTTCGTGTGGGAACAGATCTCTTTTTTTCCCCTAAAGATGCCCAAAATCCTCTCCTGTAATTACATAGCATTTCTGTCTTCTGAATTGAGAAGAAAGGGGAAAAAAATGAGATGAAGTAGAAAAACCCTCAGAATGCATTTTTCTCCTCTCCTCTCTGACAGATCAATCGAGCGCCAAGCTTTGGGACCGATCAGAAGATTGATTACGATGTGAAGAAAGGCGTGCTGCTCAATGCTCTCAAACTTCTCAACATTAGGTACTGTTCTCCACCACAATCATACACACGCATACATGTGCATGCAGCTGAACACACATGAATTGCATCTAGCGGCCTATTACGTTTCATTTGTAGAGGCAGACAAAGCTCACGTCAGACTTTATTTTACAGGGCTCTGTATGAATGACTGAAAGATTTGAATTGATTCTTTCAGTCTTCTTTATTTGGCAACTTTGAAAACAGTGGAATTACTCTGATGCACAGCACTATTCAACCTTTTTCTTGTTTTGGTTTCAGACTGACAATGCACTGACATTAGTCTGACACTAACAGGATGTTTGAGCTTTGGACAAAAAATTGTAAATGTCTCTGTTGGTCTTGCTGTTGTGGATACAAAGACAGATAATGGCTAAGGCACAAAGCTATGGCTCTATTGTGTGCTCTGCACACATTTCAGTCAGGCATGAGTCATTCATTCATTTTCTACCGTTTAGTCCCTGAACGGGGTCACGGGGGGGCTGGAGCCAATCCCGGCCGGCAATCGGGCGAAGGCGGGGTACACCCTGGACAGGTCGCCAATCCATCGCAGGGCTAACACATAGACGAACAACCACACACACGCACATGCACTCCTATGGGCAATTTAGAGACACCAATCAACCTAAGCTGCATGTCTTTGGACTGTGGGAGGAAGCCGGAGTACCCGGAGAGAACCCACGCAAGCACGGGGAGAACATGCAAACTCCACACAGAAAGGTCCCAGGTGGGGCCCGAACCCGGAACCTGTGTGTGTGTTTGCTGGCATGCTTTTCTGTCCCCTAGCTACAGTGAGTCTGTCCAATGATTGATCATAATACACCAGACGTCTGGATCTCTGCTCATGTTTTCTCTTTCTCTCTGCGCTTTGTTCTGCTCTTGCTGCTCTAAAAGTAGTATCAACGCTACTAGTTACACACATAAACAACCACAGCGCGCGCACACACACACACACAATGGATCAATTACATGCAGCACCAAAGATCAAGTTTGGCCAAGTATGGTGCATCATGCAGTCACCCCATATACTAAAATTTCACTCCATCCTCCAGCCCAGCTTCAGTTGGCACAAGCAAAACTCTCATCAAAATGATTTGTCTCATGGCTGCTGTTTGCTATGTTCTCATAGATTAAAAGGGGAGATTTGATTATTTTATTACAAATAAATTCTAGGAGGCCTTGGAACACGAAGGAAAGCTCCTTCCACTGGACAAGCTGCTTATGTTCATGCTGGAATGAACGAGGGCCTTGTTCTACCTCACTCACTTTTCCCTTATATAGTAATGGTTTCGTTTCCCAAAAGGGAGCGTTCGGTGCTGTGTAGAGCTAGGGTCGGCTCTCGGCTATGCTTGCAAAACCAACTGTATCAACGTGAGATCAATTCAGACCCAGCTGTACATGGACATTGATAAACCTCAGCCCCCCAGCATCACTCAATATCCAATTTAAAAAGGCAGCGATTGACTAAAATAAATTGTCCTTTCTCCAGACCGCAATGGCCCACTTGTTCAGAAATAGCTGTCTGGTTCATCCTGGGATTGTCGGTTTGTTTGTGTCACGGCTCAGTTTTTATCTCTGTGTTGTTGAATGTTTTGTGATTTTTTTTTTTTTTTTACCACCACAATGATGTGATGATCAAAAGGCAAATTCAGGCCTGTTAGTGATGAGACCTGCATGTCATCAAACTTCATCACAGTTTACAGCAGTCATAAAAACCTTTTGCTACAGATAATGGCTGTTCTTTACCAAGTAGTATCAAGTGTTACAATATGCTAAAAAAATATTTCAGTAGAAAAACCTATGACAAAAAAGAAGTCAAAGAGGGGAAGCATTGTTTTAATCAAGAAAAGTAGTCAGAGCACCAGCGGCAAGAAACCGAACATTTCCTTTAATAGTTAAAGATGGAGCAGTCTGCTTTTAATACAGCCTGAACCCTTTACTTCTGTTTTAACTGTGCATTGTGGCCACACCACTTGTTGTTGATCCAGGGCCAGTGATAAGAAACGCAACCTAGCGCAACAAAAGGCAGAGGCTCAGAGACGACTCTATGGGCACGGCTCCATGAAGAAACTCTCAGCTGCTTCCTCAGACTGGGAGAAACAACGTCACACACTGGAGCGACGGAGAGAAGAGCTGGTGAGGCTCAGACAAATGAATCAACTATTACATAGCTTTTAGGCCTTTTTATTTATTATCAAAAGTTTTGCTGAGCAAGATTCTGCTTCATATTTATACACTGTAATTCTCTCTGTTGGCCTCTGACCAACTGCAGGGGAGCACCTGGGATGCTAAGCACCTGTACATCTTGTCTTTGGCCAAGGGAGTTGAGAGCAATGCTCATTCATTTTCCCACCTGGACAAAACTAGCCTGGGGACTACAACAATGGCTATGCAGTCGTGAGCCCTGATGATAAGTCATGAGACTTTAGGCTTTTTAGGCCACACCAGAATGAACACAAAAGAACACTGGCTTGGTATCAGCAGTTCAGGGATAGGTGTTCATCAAAGATGTGTTTACAGATATTATGAAAGGCTGTTAGTATGCATATAAATCACAAGTTGAAATGGAAAAAAAAAAGCCTGAGCAGATTCTTCTTACTTTATGTCTGAGACAAGCATACCATTTAATTATTTTCTCTTTAAAATGAAGGACTAGTGGGTGCTCATCTATATAAGGAAAAGTGGCAACTACTAGCACTTTATGTCTCCCATCCTCTTTGATTAGCCTTTTGATCAGCCATGGCAGTAATCAGTGGGAATAAGGAAAGATGGCGTACAGACGCTATTTTAAAAAGCGCACTACCTCATCTTTGAGTGCTGTTATGGCTGAAGTGCAAGACCAGGTTCAGGTCTATTGAAGGCACGGCGCTCAATGACACTGCAGTGCCAGTAATGGAGTGATCTCCTTCTCTCTGCTTTATGCCAAATTTGCCAGCTGAGCTCTACAATTATACCTTTGTAACAAATTATTAAGAGGGCAGAAGGAAAAATGCCTTTAAATGGCAAGTCACTGACGGGGTAGTTGGTTTCCTTACTTTCACCCTCTTACCTTCTTGATTGTAAGACTTTATAGAAGACATGGTAGGTAACTTTCACCTGGAAGAGTTACTTCTTTTTTTTTGTTGTTGTTTCTTTTTCTCTTATTTCTAGAAAGAGCGACTGGCACAAGTCCGCAAGCAGATCTCCAGGGAGGAGCATGAAAAGCAACATCTGGGGAACTACAGGTAAGGAAGATGCAAACAACCAGAGAGAGGGGACTTGTGCCAGCTTCATCTACATATATGGGGTCATCTGCACAATGTAAGGCTCTCAGGAGAATGAATAATACTACCGCAGACAGAACAAACAAAAGATGACGCCCGATGTTTTGAGAACATGAGACAGAAGAATTAACAAAGAGAGAGAGAGAGAGAGAGAGAGAGGGATAAAGGGAATCTGAATTTTTGTGTAGCGGTATAGTTGAAATTGTTACTCTTTAATACACAGTGTTACCTTTTCACCATTTCTGAAATTCAAATTAGCATGTGTACTTTACTTGACAGTTACAAGCCATTCTCCATCTCTGCTTTACCCTGCTCTGTTCTTTTCTCCTCCAACTCGTGCTGATATTTTGGAAGATGTAGAGCTTGTCAATTTTTAATAGTCATCTCGCAGAATGAAGAGATCCACCTCGGAGCATGGCTCAGCAGCACCACGTTTTGATTTGCCTCTTGTCCCTTGTAAATTGTTAATGCTCTTTCACTCCCTCAGTTTCTCTTCCTGCCTCTCTCTTTATCCAACATGTATACACACACATTTCCAGTTCTTGATTTTCTTGCTCTCTCTTGCACATACAGACTTACAGACAGCCACACACTTGCCCTGAGTCTAAGAGACTTCTTGACTCATCACTTGACTGAATGGCTAGTCAGAATGCTGATCCCAGCCTGCATCAAGTGCTATCACCCCCTTCCTCTCTTCCGACAGACAGCCAGAGAGTCAATCAGACAGGCTGAGGTCTGTGTGGAGCACCCCTAATAAAGACCTCTTAACATTCAAATGGTGTCCCGGCGCTGCACTGGAGTCTGATTAACGCACTGCTTCTCATTAGATGAGTTCGGGTAATGAACTTAGTTACGGTCGCCTATCAGATGAAACTTGCATCAGGTACGGAGAAGCCGAGACCCTGTAGCATTAGACGGAAACCCAGCTGGGTGGATGCCATTATTGCTTTTCATTTCTTTTATCGGGAAGCCTGAGAGATGCTGTTGACAAAAACAATGATAGTTTTAAATGGATGGAACATGAACATTTTATTTAAAAATATTCGAGGGTCACCCTCTAATAAAATCTCCATATATTTAGAAATGGAGGGTGCCAAACAGAGGCAGCAGTTAACACTCAGTATCAAAGTGGTGACCTTATATGTTTCAGCCTTGTTATTTATATTACTCTCTGAGGAATTACATGTTCTGGCTGTTGTCATATATTACTATTTCAATTTAGTTTGGCTGTTATGTAGAGACATCCTAGAATTTTAGAAATTATCTCAAGAGGAAGAAAAGAATGTTTCATGTTCCTTAACGGTAGTAAAAAAAAAAGTATGGTAGTTAAATATCTTGTATAGGATATTACCAAGGGAGGGAACCAGAGCCCATCACAGGTGTTTTAGCAGTCAGCAGTCTACTTGATTTGAACTGCACTAACTAAAGTAATGCATAGAATTAGGTCAGCTTCTCAGCAACATGGAAAGCATGTACCTTGAACAGAATCTATTCATAAAGAAAAATGGTAAAATTGTGTAAACTTTGCTAAAATTAGCATTCTACTTGCACTAAAATCTACCACTCAGATGCTGATATCTAACATGTATAGCTTATTAGTAAAAACTTAATTCTTCTCTACAAAAATCTGCAGCTATCATCTTGACGTGGTGCAAAATTTCCTGCTGGTGCATAAACATTACATTTAGCTTTATATCTTTGCATTTATAAAAGGTCAGCTTTTGTACCTGTGTTAGCAGCTTTTCTAACTTCCCATTGATTCAAAAAGCCAACTCAGGAGGCGTTTGGCTCTAAACATATCTGTATAAAAGCCAGACCATTTCCATGATTTACACACCACATTTGCCAGTGTTTATTTTGATTTTATAACACTGTCATTGTTTTGATTTGATGACTAAACTGTGGACCAGGGGAGAGTTTGGAGATGTATTAAGAGGATAACCAAGCAGAAGTTTAGACATTTTTCTAATCCCCTCAGGCCTAAGATAAACACTGAGCACTGTTAGTTTAGTCTTGAGGGCACAAAACTATGTGGAATGTGTGAACAGGCACATTAGGAAAGAATGCAACAAAAGGGAAAGTAAGTGCACATCTCGGTGGAGGTGTATGTGTGTGTCAGAGTCCTGCACAGGTCAGACCTGTTACACAACTGCAAACCTCGGTGCCGGATTCTACCTGTAACTAGCAGTTATTCTTAAATCAAATCTGGACCCGATAGCCTGCACAGTCACTCACTTCATAACTCATCTAGACTGTATTTAAGTAAGTGTTGCATATGGCTGGTCCGGAGCCATCCGGCATAAAGAAAATGGTGGTTGCTAATTGCACTTGATTAAATTAAGCACTTGTTTAGATGCTTGCAAAAATTGCACCTATAGTTTTATTTATTTTTTTCCAGGTGTTTATTTTTACCTGAGCCTGCACATGTGAATTCATATCAAAATTTATTTTTCTTTACCAGCTACACCAAACTTTATGGGTTAACTGTCTTTGTGGAAAGCAGTTGTGTGTCAGTGCATTTGTACAGTTACTTAACTCAAGGTCTCCATTATTAGTTCTTTCTTTTTGTGTTTTCTTTGTGCTCCCTCCTCCTTCTCCCTTGATCCTGCCACCTACCTTTCTTTTGTCTCTCCAGCATTTCATACCTCCAATTGAAATACTTATAATTCTCTGTCTGTTTCCCTTCCTGCTTGCTCTTTTATCTGTCCATCTACCATTTTCACCTGCTGTGTTTCGACCTCTCTGTGCCTCACTCCTCCCTCTTACAGTATTTGTATTTCTTCAGTCTTTTTGACTTTCCAGCTCTGTATCCTTGTTCTCTGTCTTTCTTGCTGATTTTCTTCATTTCTCTCCATTTGCTGACCTTCTTTCTCCCCCCTTTCTTATCCTTCTTTTTTCAGTCTCTTATCTGTCACTGATCCTTTCCTCCCAATTGTGTGGCCGCTCCTCCTCCCTCTTTGCTAAAGCCAATCCCCCTCTTTCCTTTCTCTTTTCTGTCACTGTTTGTGTCCCCAAACCCTGTTTTCTCTTTCTCTTTACTTTATCATATTTTCTCTTTCTCATCTGATCTCCTTTCTCCCTGCACTGTTTTCCTTCTCCCTCTTTCTCCACACCTCTCTCACTCTCCTTGCTTTTCTTTTTGTGCCTCTGTGGCCTACAGACGTATTTACCCCCCAGACGACAAGCTGCTGTTGGAGAAGTATGAAAGCCTGCTCTCGGCCGCCTTTCAGACCTTCCTCGCCGGGCGAGCTGCCTCACTTCAAAAGGAAATGAATAATCCTCTGAAACGAATGAAGGCACGTACATCAGTGGCAGACTCTAACACACACACACACACTCCTCATAGAATTCTGCACAGACCCACACACAAACATATATACGCAATATACAGACACTTGTGGACAAGCACATACCAAAGAAGAGAAACGTGCACTTCTATTATGATTCTGCCCAGAGAGACAAAAAAGGATGTGCAAATAAAGCTGAGTGTGGCGCGGTCCTTCATATTTTTTTTAGAATGTCTGACAGAATGTCCTTCTCCTCTCTTTTCGCCTCACTTTCTCAGTCTTTCACTCTGTTTCTCCAGAAATATTATTGAAATTATTGTGCTCTGTACATGAGCATTTAAAAGCAAATCAAATCCCACACAACAGTCTCTTCAGTTTCCCTCATCCTCTTTCTGTATCTTCCTTTTATTTTTATTTTTTTTCTGTCAAAAAGGTTCTGAAGAGGCTTCAAATTTGATTGCCATTGCTGCACAGTTAACTGTGCTTTGCTAGAGGTTAATAATTTATTTTATGAGAGCGATTCGGGGGGCACATTTGAACATGAGCGCATAAATGCACATGCACTTACAAACAATTGTGGCCACATACTAAAGAATATGTCCATACAAGGGTAGAACTGTCAGAAAATGTCAGAGCATTTCTGGTACTGGAAGAATGCAGCTAGAACTTGAAGGTATGAAGAGATGCTATAGAGGAGAGAAGATTATTTCCATACCACACAGCTTTATAGGAGAAAAGGGGGGAGAGCAGGGGAAGAGAGGAATGTGGGGTTTCACTTGTGATAAGAGAAAGATGAGAAAAATAGTCAGAGACCGTGAGCTGCTGATATAGTTGTCACTTTTGATTTTTGTACAATACTTTTTAAAATATTGTGACAGACTTCTGTTATAAACACCATAGGACTCACAATGGCTCGAGTAGATTACAAAAAATAGGGAAGAGAAAGAAGCAATTCTCTGTTACCAAGTCTGGTTATGTATTTAGAAAGAAGCAATCAGTGAGACAAAAAAGACAGTGGAAGGCATTGCAGGATATTTAAACACATGGCGGAATCTAGAAGCATTGATGAGTAGGAAAGATACAGATGAAACTAAAGAATCTGAACTGCTTGTGGCTACTGGATAGTAACAGTGAATACATAAATATTTTGACAGCAGTACTGAGATTTACAATTTCATATCAAGACACTGGGATATGCAACTTTTGTGGAAACCCTATCTCAGTAGCCCCTAGCCCCTTGCAGTCTGTTTTTCAGAAAGTTATTGTGTCTTTTCAAGTGCCAAATTTTTCCAGCAAATTTTTATATAGATGTCAATCAAAGATCAGGCACAGTCTAAACACCAGGCTGAGGTAAGTTTAATTTAGTCAACACAGACAGATGTGGATCTTGTTCAAAGTAGGGAAGGAGGGAGATAGTAGGAACAAAGGATGCTGCTGAGTTTGCTATCTAATAATATGATCATGATTGACAACTGGACTGTTGTTATTAAGTGTGAGAGTGTAAGATCCTAATCTTGGCCATTTAAAATAAAGAAGAGATGCTCCTGAAATTGAAAATGATAGTCATCAGACCACAAATGATGCTTTTTATGCAAATATTTTTCCTCCCAATTTTTAACATATTACTCAAGCCCATCTATTGTCAAGAATAAGCTGTGATTTGAGCTGCTTTTCTTGACAGATGGTTTGTTTGTGCTTCTCAACCTTGCTGCTTGTTTATAACCTGTATGATTTGTATTGTCACCGGATTTGAACGGTGGAATTAGATAGAAAGGTACTGTTGCCATTTCAAGCTGTTCAAGTTGCCTCTTCAACTTCCAGCAGTTGTTTTGCCATTATTGTTCCCCATTGGCTCGGCATGCAAAGCGCAGCCTCTTCTGATTTGTTAGAGAGTTAGCTAACTAATATCAACATTAACTGTCTTTTTGATATGTAGCTGGACTTTCTGTGTGAAAGTGTTAAATTGCATCTGCTATTAGCAAGGATATTTACAACTAGTGGATTCCTGATTAGGCTACTTACGGGCAGAGATGCAAGTCTTTGATTGGATGGCAGATTTGTTCCATAACTCTAATCGTGACAAACCTTCACCTAATCCAAGCCATTTTGAATCTTAACCTAAACGTAACCATTTTCAATTTTGGTAATTTCCAAGGTTTGCACCGAAACATAATTATTACTCCTATGATAAACCAACATCAAATTATCTCTCAAGTCTCTGAGGCACAAAACGAATGTTTGCTGCCATCGTGGGCTTCCTAGGGCCATGATTTCAAAACTGTGGATTGGATTGTCACACTATCAAATAAAATGTGTTGTAATCCTAGTGATAACATGCTGATACACTTCAGATCACAATTTCTGGCTTCAGTTGCTGTGCTACAGGCAATGCAGCCACAGGTTACAGTGATTTCTGCAGGGTTTGCATCACCCTTCTCCCCACTTCCATTACAGTCCCTGTGGGTTGACAGTTACACATCAAATTGTTAGTTCTGTTGTTTGCTATTCCTCCATTTCTGGATAGATACTGAAGATAAAAAAGAAAAATATTGTTGAGCAGGTGCATGCTCAGCCAGCCTGCAGTGCTCTGCCAATAAAATAGAACAGCACAAGTACAAAAACGGCAAGTGTTGTCTGGGAGCACTTCACAGTCAGTGTAAATCCTGTCAAAGTGGTCTGCAAGCACTTCAGACTTCTATAAAGTAAAGGGATATTAGTAAGACTCCTTTGTTTGTGGCTTTACCTATTTTTGACCTACAATACCTTTATTACTCTTTTCAAAGGGAATATTCTGGTTCAAAGGAACAACTATTTTAAATGAATTTTCAGCTGGATTTTGTTCTCACAAATCAAAAACTCCTGTTTCCTGTTGCAGGAAATGTACAGTTCAAAAGGTCAAATTGATGGAGGTATCTCAGAATTTACTTTCAGTAACAGAAGTTAAACAGGAAAATGCAGAGAAAACCCCAACATGCTGATGATAATGGTGAACAACAGGCAGAAATAACATTTTCTGTTCTGAATAGTGGGAGTAAAAGTGTCATCGTCTCTATGCTCCACTAAGACTGTCCTCCTTGTTTTGAAGAAGTAATGATTTGATTCCTGACCACATTTTATTTGATTAAAAGAATAAGACCAGTTTTACCCTCAGAGACTTTCTGCTGGCTCAGAGATATGTTTTTTCTTTACCATGGCGGAAATAAACTCCTAACCAGTGGAAAGTGTCTTCTGCCTACATTATAATAAAAATGCACAAGACAGTGTCACTTGTCAAAAAGACAAGAACTATGGAATCAGTAAATGTCACAGTAGATGCTTCTAACAATAGAAGAAATACTCCTGGACAGGATTACAGTTTTGGTCTTCTGGTGCCAAAAAAACATAGTTTGGACAATATACTGTGCTGACATCTGCAGAGATCACTGGTGATAACAAGGTAACAAAAGAAGAAATACTCCTGGACAGGATTACAGTTTTGGTCTTCTGGTGCCAAAAAAACATAGTTTGGACAATATACTGTGCTGACATCTGCAGAGATCACTGGTGATAACAAGGTAAAGGGGAGCTACACAGTCTCGAGGCTGGGAGAGAGAATAAAATGTTTAATTCATTAAGTGATCATTAAAAAGATCTGAACAAGTTGGGAGATGTTTATCACTGACAGTGCAGACAGTGACTGTTAAATAAGTATCCTAAAAATCTATAGACCTGCATCATTTGATGTAGACACTTTGATGTGTTTTACACACTTTAACACAAGAGAAGCTGAATAGCTTTCTGTTCATCTGTAATTTCTCTATCTGTGTCAAGTTCTGTTTTCTCTCATGCTTTAAAGCATCAACACATCAATGTAAGCTGCTTTGTTGCAGTTGAACAAGGCAATGGGTCTGCAGTGCTTTTTAAAACACTGTGGGTGGGGAAGCTTTCACATCGTGAACAATTAATGAGCTGGCAGACTTTTCAGTGGTAAAAATGCCTTTTGATGTAAAAATAAATCAATCTTAAAAACAAGTACTGAACATTTTTAAGGATAAAGTTAAAACATAAAAATGTCATTTTAGTTGTTAGTTTTTCAGGACCATTTTTGCAATCAATTTAAAGTAGCGCATAATATCCTGCAGCTTACTGAATGGCTGGGCACAATATGACATGTTTTTAACTGGGGTTTGCTTGATGTGTAAGGGCAGCTGCAATCATAGTGATAAATACTTAAGTTAAGTATTGTTTTAAAATCTGAGGTCTTGATAGAAAATTTCAAAGTTTACACATCACACAACTGTCTGATAATGCTACAACAAGGCAAAGTTCATCCCAATCCGGTTCACGCTGGCACACACTGTTTGCCATTTCACACCAACATATAAATAAATTCTTATATAGTCACATAAGCACAAAATATATAGGCCAATATAAACCAAGATGGCACTTGACAAGACAGTATCATTTAAGGAGAAAAAACCAAAAGGTCATATAAAGGTGTCAGAACCCATGGATGCTTACTATAAGACAGACAAATGATGACTTCCAGACATGGAAATATGCCACTGTATACGCAGACAATTGATTTATTCACATGCCAACACGGAGAGCCAGGGGCACATAGACCTTTTCACGAACCTCAGAAGGCAGCTTGATGGCTAATCTGAGAAAAAACGACCACTTTTCATCTGTATTTAGGCGGCAATTGGGGGCTTTTATGTCCCAGCCGTGAAGCAACATTAATCACCTTTGCCTGCATTTCAGCTATAGCCAAATGGCCACAGCCTCAGCATATTGGCGATGGGCATGACAATAGCCTTCCTGAATTCACCTTCTATGTATGCTGCCAAAGAGCAATGCATGTTTAGCCAGGGCCCTTTTCTTTCATCCCTACTCCTTTTTTTAAAATAATATTAGCTGCTTGTTTTCTTACACCTCCAATTTACTTCAAAGCTATATGAAATATCGAAGCATTTATCACTGTGTCATCAAGATTTAACTGTATTGTTACTCTTGGCTGATGCTTTACTCTGTACATTTCTTATGTAACCGAAATCCACCTCTTTGACGTGTTCTTATCTACCTTGTATTTTCTGTATGTGATGGTGTGTAGGAGGCAGACATATTGGATTTGTTGGAGCAATGTGAACTGGACGACGAGAAGCTGATGGGTAAATCTTCCAGGCAACGAGGCCCTAAGGTGGGTGAGAGTTGGGACTGATAAAAAGTGCAAAGAATAAAGAAAGACAGAAGTGAGGGGAGGCAAGTTGGGAGATGCCTGGAGCTAACGCCCACAGATAGCATATAGGACGTGATTCAGAAAAATAAAGATGGGGGTAGCAGGTTAGGTGAGAATAAAAAGGATCAGAAAGAGGCTCTAAGAAAAGACCCAGCTCCCTTAGGGGACAGCTGTCAGGCTCTCTCACTCTCTCCATGGTATCTTTCTTTCAGTTTATCTCCCTCTCTTTGTCACATATACGTATACATCCCCTCAATTTCCCATGACAGCACATTACTCCCTCCATCACCTTGCTTCACTCTTCTCCTTTCACCTCATCATCCCTTTTCTCTTCCTGAACATCTACATCCGTCCCTCACTCGAGGGCTAAATTGGCTGGAACACTCAAAGTGTGTGTTAGGGACTCGACAGGGCAGTTAAGTGCTGTATTAGAGAAGCCTTAGTTGGAATGAGGACTTGTTCAGGAACAATCACTGTTGTCCAAATTAATTTGGGCCCCATCAGTTTCCATGTTGCAGAATTTTTCACTGAGAGCAGAGGAAAGAACAAACTGAGACGGGAAGCTTCACTCCTTGGGGTGCGGTGCTCACAAGACATCTGGTGAAACTGAACCAACAAGTGTGCAAAGGCTAGAGGAGAAGAGTGAGGCAAAGGGATTAAGAGATGTGATTTTGAGGGAGGGAATGTTTGTATCAATGAAGAAATGCTCAGACAGAGAAGAGTATGGGAAGAAAGCTAAGAAGGAAGTGAAATGATGAAAGTGTCACAGAGGAAGAGCTATAGCAAGTGCCTTCAGGTTTTCTTTAGGTTTTTCCTCATTTCATTTATTTTCTTCCTCTCTTCTTGACCCCTACCTTTATAATTATGATGTACAGCTTGTCATATTTGTTCCTTGTGGTATTTCTCTCTTTTCCTACCTTTTTCTCGAGCTCACCATTTATCCTTATTTTACCCCATCCCTCTGGCTTCTTCTCTTCACACATCAGAAATCTCTTTGTCATCTCATCTGTTCAGTGTCTGGCCTTCTCCTTTGCTTGCTCTCCACTGTGTAGCCACTTGTTTTCTATCTCTGCACTCATAAGTTCAGTATCCTTTTCTGTCCATGTGTTCATTTCCGCTTCTGTCCATCTACTCCATGCCTCATCTCCGCTCCCATACTCAGATTCACCTCACCCTCTTCTTTATTTCTCCGCCCATCAATCTTATGTTCCCATCTTCCCTTTTATTCTCCTCTCATGTATTTAATCTTTCTGTCTATCCCCTTCTATCGCTCAACCACACAGCTACCCGGCGGCGACAATGTAAGCCCTGTGATCACTTCCTGTCCATTAATTCGGATGGCCTGACAGCACTGCCCAAGCTAACCACTGAATAACAGATGCATAAATGCTTTATTAATGCCACTGTATCAGCATGTCCCCTTCTAGTCCCCACTCAAATAGACACTCAACTTTCATTAACTCCAAAGTAAAAAGAAAAAGAAAATGCTCATGAGTTTGTCATCATGATTTTACACAAACAAAAGTCAGTTGTTTGTACTCATCTGATATTTTCATCAATTGTGTCAAACACGGAACCAACTGTCCTTGTATACAGCACATTTCTGTTCCATGTACAGAAACTCTCATGTAAAACATTTGGTATTCAAGAAAAAAAAAGTACTTTCAGTTTAAAAAGTACTTTACGTTGTTTGACAGGTCAAATTTGTTTAGGGTATGAAGCTACTCATTTTCCTATTTATAGAGGCAGCCAGGCCTTTAAAGGAGTGCATATGTAATTGTGTATCTGTGCATAATGAGCCTGCAAGAAAACATAAACACGTGGGAACGTGGGCTAGCAGTGTCACCACACGATCTCCCAGTGACAGATGGTAATGGGCTGAGGGTTAGACAGGCTGAGGGAGGCTGACAACATCTCAACGTCTTCACGTTTAAGTGTGTGTGTTTGTGTGCTTATTCTTGTACTTATGTCCTTGTGAGAAACTGTTTGAATTTTATAGCTCTGGAAGGAGAACACTTTTCTAAAATGAGGTCAGTTTCGATGGTTTAGGGTTAGGAAGCGAATGCCATCAGTGGAGGGTCCCATGAGGATAAAAGTAGAAGGATGGTTATGTGTGTGTGAGAAGAATGCATGTATATGGATCTATGCGTGCACATTCTGTATGTCTTATGCACAGTATATTCAGCATATATTTCCCTTGTGTGTCTGTATGTGTTTGTCCCTGCCAGTCCTTGACCACCATGCCAGAATGCAGTCAGACACCAAGGCGTCAACGACCAGACTACCTGGCCGACTTTACAAGTGGCAGCAGCGCTGATAACTCCTGTTCCTCCTCAGATGAAGAGGAGGAGGAGAGGACAAAAGCAGGAGGAGGAGGAAGAGGCGAAGAGAAGAGGGAGAAGAAAGTTTCCTATCACCTTGGGGACAAAAAGGATAAGAACTTGGCTGAACGCTCAGGTAAAACAGCAGCATATACTAAAGTGTCTACAGTAGGAATGTTTTTATTAGAAAGTCAAAGTGTGGGGGTTTGACAGGAACCTTGTTTACTGCGATCACTTGTTTTTTTTTGTTTGCTTGTTCTTTTCTCATTTTGTCTTGTTCTCTCTTCTTCCTGCCGCGTTGAATTCTTTTTTTAGCTGGAGCCCTTTGTCTGATTACAGCAGTTTTCTTAATTTTGAAAAACAAACTGTTTTTCAAATTGTGTAAATTTTCACAATCTGACACTTAAAAGATAAACACAGTTTTAAGATTTTTGCTTTAGCATTTTCAACTGCATTTCCATTTTATTTTACTATGATAGAAAATAAAGTGCGGACAGGAGCGACAGTGAGATAGAGACCTAGTTTGCAATAATTGAATGGGAATTGATCCCGTGATGCTGTGAGTACATGAGAGCAGCTCCAACCTGGCATATTTTTCACACTTATACATACAGTTTGAAAAATATATTCATAGTTGCACAGCACAAATTTCCATATACATGCATGTGCAATTTTTTTTTAAATAATAATTCAGAGAGTTTTACTTTGATCAGTACCTGCAGCATGCACACACTCCACCAGCACTGCGAGACAGGTTATGATGGTGTGAGCCAGCAGGAGCTACATTATGGATGTTCTAATTGATGCGATAAAATGGTACCAGATCCTTGGATTTTAATTAAAGTATAAGCAGGGTGATCATAGACTGTGACTTATGGGATGTGGCTTTATGTTTCTGCTTTCCTAAGAAAAGAAGCATCCTATAGCTTCACAGCAGTAGACACACATACAAAGCTGACACACCAAAAAGCACCTGAGGAAAAAGATGTTTCATGAACAATACAGTGAATGGAAGGCAGAGGAAGAAACGGAGATGAAGAGAAGAAAAGAACTTGATGGAACGAGAGGGGAAGAAAAAAAGCCTCCTTTCGTTGCTTATCTTGAAAACACCTTGAATTTAATGCTGACATATTCCCTGTTCTATAGTGAGAGGGATAAGTCTCAAACATTCGCACAAATTTGCATAAGTTGCATACGTCATTTTCAGCTTTTTGAAGTGAGAAGACACCTTTCACAACAGTTTATGCACTGACCTTGGACAGAAAAAGATTCTCTGGTTGCATTGCGGCCTGTCGGTTTAACTGCTACATAGAGGACCATTGCAGGAGCTCATTCAGTTTGTCACAAAATAAGGAACAAAGCCATGAAAAAGCCCAACTTATTGAATAAGTATGTGTACAAATGTGTTTGCATGTATGTGCAAAGCGAGACAGTAGCCCTGCCAATCCCTGTTCCATACCAAGGCACCAAAGGGCTGCAAGGACTAAGCCCCATAATGCTCTTATTTGGCAATGGCCAAACCGCGGAAGGTTCGGCAGCCGCGCACACAAACACACACAGAGAGACGAGACATAAAATCACTTGTATGCACACTTGATGTCAGACTGACACACTGCATAAATGAAAAACACACTAACACATTGGCTGGTACACAAGCTGGAGATGTGTCAAGGGTGACGGAGAGTGTCAGCATAGGTTTATAGCTTCATATTATGTGTGTCTGCGTGCACTTGGTATTCACATTGTGGGGACACAGCCTTCCTCCTGGGGACCTTAATCCCCACCTGCATTAAGGTTAGTGCAGGGATAAGGGTTAGGTGTTAGGCAACTAGTGATTATAGATAAATTTAGGGCAAGTCTCCAGGAAATGAGGGCAAGTCCCCACAAGTAAAGAAAACAAATGCATGTGTGTTTGCCTAATCTGTGTAGGTGTGTGTATATGTGTGTCCAAGACAGAGAGAGGAAAAGAAAACTGCTCTTTAATCCATCCCCAGACCAGACAAGACTGCTGTTTAGTTTATGGTTTAGACTACACATGCTGTGGTCATTAATAACACATACACACACCCACATGCGCACACACACAGTGGGCCACTGGGCCAGTGTGCCAGAGTGCAGCTGTGGGAGTTTTAACGCCACACTTCATCTCCAAAGCCACCCGGCAGCAGATGGAAGGCAGAAAGGAGAGCTTGACAGCGACTGGGGCACTGAGACAGGATCAGGGAAGAAAAGAAATCGAAGTGTGACAGTGAGTCAGTGTTCCTCTCCACTCCCTCTCCCTTTCTTCTGTTTCTCTCCAGGTCGCATGCACTGGAAACCTCCAGTCAAGCCACTCAAAACCAGCCCCGCCCCTTCCGTTTCCCCAACACTTTCTGGGCCAATCAGGCGCTCCATCTCCTGTCCTCGCTCCATTGCCTCCCTCTCATCGCCCAATGAGGTGCGAGCCTTGTCTACCAGGCCTTCACCTACAGTTCCTTTGGCCACTCCCCTCATCAGGCCAAGCTCTGCCACTCTGCGCTCGCACTCACTGAGCCGCAGTGGCTCCGCCCACCGCGTGCCTCACAGCAACAGTCTGGGAACCATCCACTCCAACATAGTAAGATACTCAACACATAAACACAAAGTGGGATTTGCCTCTTTACAGTTCAGAATGTGTGAAATGAGTTGTCCGTCACAGATAATTGTATTAAATTCGTTTTTAAACAGCCGGCTGTCATTTCACTCAATGTGGCAATCCTCTGCTGATCCACTACTCCAAGCAGGTTTAAATATAATCAAGATTTACTTTCCAGTTTTAGTTCACATAATTTAATTGCTCAGCAGTCAGAGCTTTTACCTTTCTCCTCCTCTGGCATACATTGCAGCCTAGCTGAATAAGAATCTCTTAAGCAACACTGTACTTCAGTACTGTACAAACTTACTGTAGTGCACAACAACAACCATCCTATCTTATGTTGCCATCTACCTCCCTCCTCCATTCCCTTGCCTACTTTACAAGTATGCGGGATACAGTGGAATGACATATGAGAACAGAGCAGAATACTTTAACACTGAGGCCACAGACTGCGCTGGTTATATGCTTGCATACAAAATGACAGGAACATTTCCTTATTGTTATTTTTACTGATTTTTACCTTCTTGCAAACTTAAGTTCCCTATGGGACTCACACCTGGGGACAAGTACATCCTGGTACAGGAAATGTCAAATTTGACCAGTGAGCGCACTGGTGTAGCAATAAAAAAAGTGGTATTTTGAGGAGGTTATTTGTATTCATAGCATGCAGCATGTTACAGATACTGTTCTTTACTAACTGCTATGTAAAGGAATAATATGTAACTATAGTAGATTGTACATGTGTGTGAATGCAACTTTAAAGTTCTGTGCAGAGGTGATTTTGAAGAGCCCCTAAATTGGGACTGATAAAAATATCCTGACACAAAAACATCAATTTTTCCTTATTGCCAGTAGAAAAAAGCATTGGTTGATAAGTAATCAATAAACACTACTTGTAGTGTACTCTTAATATCCTTTGCTACAAAAACTGAATTGGTCTGATAGCTAAATCAAATCAAAGAAATTCCTCCTCCTTTTCTTCTGTGTCTGGTAAAAGCATGCTCTATGTGTCTATATGAGCCTGGTTTAGATGTGAGATGACACTATTGTTCTGAATTATACATTTTGTTTAATACTGTGTATCCGTGTACTGAATGGGTCCTCAAGCTTTGTGTTTGCTATTGTGTATGTGTAAAGGGTGATCCGCTGATAAACCTGAGGAGTAAAGAGCAGGAGGCAGAGTTGGTGCATCAGACTCTGGCTGCGCTCACAGCCATGAGGATCAGGTTTCCTGGAAAAACTGAGGAAGAGGCTGAGGCTGTGTTGGATGAGGTGGGTGTACATTTTCTATGGTATTTGTGTGTGCATTGCCCTATAAAACAGTCTAAGATGCATTTTTGTGTGTGTTTGTGTGTGTGTATGTAGCAGAATACACAGATTCAGTGGCCAAAAATGGGTAAAAAAGAACTGGGAAAAAGTGGGAATAAACAATGAGTACAAGTGCTGAACAGAAATCCAGACCCACTGTATTCCCTGAGCCCTCTCTGTGGCCAGGTGCGGTCACTCTGCAGCCTAACTAAAAGTAACCTCCTCGCCTCACTCCACAATAGCCTGTCCGCATTGGCCTGACTCCCATTGTCTTTCAAATGACCCCCGTGACAACCCGTCGGTCAGTTTCAAGCCCCGCGCTATTCCCCACTGCACCTTTGTATTAATCAGTGCCTCCTCTATTTTTGGTCAGATCTGTGTGTCCTTGCCTTTGGTATGTGGTGTACTTGTGTCTTTGCGAGCACATTTCTGCAGCTATTAATTTATGTTTTTCTACAATGTTAATGTACAAACAATTAAAGAACTTATTCATGTGGTTAATGGGAACATACCAGAGATGTAAATGATGTTGAAAGCAGGCTGCCCAAGAATCCAGTAATGACTACATTTTCTACAAAACGTCTGTTGAAATAATAGACATCTTCATATTGTTGTACCCGGTACTTTTTACCATACGGACTCTGAGAGACGAGACAGTCCAAGTAACTACCAAACAGTGCTGATTTATTCAAAGGATCACAGGTAAAATCAACATTACACGCTCAGGTATCTTGCACCTCCAAACTGCTCGCAGGCAGATGTAAGATGAAAGACCCTGAACCCACCAGGCCTATACATTATATCCCTTCGGTTGGGCTAGCCCCATACTACACAGAAACGTCAACCGAGACGTCTCTGTTGCCAGCCTTGCAGCTGGTCATAGCAGTAGTCAAAACATGAAGCAAATCAATGTGTGAATGTGTGTGTCTGTTGATTAAGTGGTGTGTAGCTAAAAACATTCTCACAGACTTCTAGTAACATGTCGTGACTTAAACATGAGAACATATTATGGCTAAGGCTACAGTTATACACGTCATAATAATAATATTAAACATCCTGTCTGCTGACAGTCATCAACTCTTCTCTCTAGTTATCCTTGACCAGATGTACCCTGTAGAAACTCATAAGCATGACTAAGCATTTAACAGTCTAACTAGACATCCTATCTACACTAAACATTTCTAATACATAAAGTATCTATCCAATATCTATCTGACTAAAAATACCTAACAATATACAGTAAGTTCTGATAATTAACTAGTGTTAGCAGCTATTAATATCCACTTTTAGAAACCACAGCTATGTGTTATTGACTTGCTGGCCATGTCGAAACAGATGGAAAAAGAAAACTTTCAAAACTACAATAGAAAAAGCTGAACTCAGTTGTGCATTTGGTCAAAGTAAAAAGAAACAAAAATGGTCTGACAATAAAAGCTGAGGCTCACCTTGAATTCACACTAGAAGTACAAAGTACTATGAAAGCATCCAAACATAATTTCTACACTGACTCTGATCTCTGTTAGAGCCATCGCTGTCTTAAGAGTCAGCTGTATGTTGAAAGCAAAGCAGATGGCCAGACTGTCTTCACCAGGCTGATTGATGACAAAAATAACAGCAGAATGTTCAGTTAGTAGGCTACACATAAAGTAAACTGGAAGAAGTACACCAGAGTTTATTTTTTATGTCAAATTTGTCCAGAAGTAAAAGGCCAACAGCACCTAACTCACTTGGCTCCTTAACTTAAAAAACCCAAGGCTTTGTGGCTGCAGGGCTTGCAGCTGGGCCGCTGAAGCCATGGTTCGGACAGGAGTGACAGCATTGGGCCGCCAATCAAAGCTACCAAATCAACCAAAATACACCCCTTTTTATATAATCAAGTAACATATTAAAAAAAAAAAGGTCCCAATGTCAAAAGCCGTCTGAAGCTTCCAAGGAATTAAGGGAAAAATAATTTTTTCTAGACCTTATGGTTAAGGAGTTATTAGCCAAAATCACATAAATGCTTACAGGTCTTTTTTCAGTCTGTGATTCCTCCCACAAGAAAGACTTATAAGAATAAATGTGTACCAAGTTTGATGTTATTATATTTAATAGCTCTTGAGATATTCCAAAAAACTATGGAAAAAATTCACTTTCCATTTATTCCTCGCTCCTTTTTTTGCCATAACACGATATTCCCGACGGGAAGACTTGACATACTTGGTGCATGTGCTTCAAAAGCTGTGGGACGAGTGAATCAAATTTTTTGGCCTAGTAATAATAATAAATTTGCAGGATTGCAAGAGATGTGCTATACTCCCTTGGAGCTCACACACCTACTAATGATCTAATGAGTAATGTTTCTTAGCACATTGTGATGTAGTTGTAATTTAAACTAGTGAGAAAAACCAAGTCATTAACTTAAGTATTTCATGTTCTCTGAAGCACACCACAAACAAACAAAAAAAGTTGGTGTGTATGCAATATCTGGGCGTGTCAGGATTGTGAAAGACAATTACCACCACACCTGTGCTGTTAAACACTAATGAAATCACCATGGAAACGCAGATGAGCGGCTGCACCTGTACTGTTCACGCTTTGCCTCAGGAGACAAGGAGTGTTCACTTGGCATGAAAACAATCTTTAGCATTTCATGCTTTCCATGATTTAAGTTGAGGGCTATTTGGGCTAATGATGTGTTTGTATGGGAGTAATTGCCTCCTTTATATTTCACTCAAAACCTGCTTTTATGTCACAGTTGGAACCATTGAAAGGTGAAATGCATTGAGTGGGTTTTGTCCTGCTTTAATTGAGGGCAATTTGTGTATGTATAAAACAAATATGACAAATGAGCATGCAGCGTACTAGACAAGGTTCCTAAAGTTCTTACTGAGAGAGAAAACTGAACAAATAAACAAGCAACTCTCTAGAAAGTGAACAAAAGTGTTTACTGTATACCTTATCCCTGTATCTGCGAGTCCTTGTGGATTGTGATTGTGTGCGATGTGTGTGCTAGTACACAGTGGAGCTTCCCAGTGGGGGCACTGTTTGCAGGGGATCTAGCATGCTACATGAGAGATTTATGTGCACCAGTGGGGCGATGTAGACTAAAGTCAACAAGAGCAACAATAACAGTGCCTGTAGGTACACAGTGATGTTGGCACTAGTGCATGGGAATATCCAGCACAGCTTTTGAACATAACAACACATGCCCAAAGGATTTCTGACAGTCACAAAACATAGGGAACAAAAAGATCATGACTTGATTTTAGTTATCCCTCAGTTCAGCTGCATGTAAAGTCACAAATGAACAAACACACAAAAGACAAGCATGGCACTCTGTAGATGCTCTGCTAGGTACTAATGTAGGTTTAATGTATGACAATGACCTCAAATTACTTTGGGAGACCACTTACATACGTATAAGGTGTTACGTATATATATGTAAGGCTCAGGTGTGCAATCACAAACCAGTTATGTGGAAGGTTTTAATGGTCTACCTTGCTTATGGAGAGAGACTTTTGCTAGATAAATCATCTATAGTTGCTTTGCCAAAAAAAAAAAAAAAAAAATCCTGAAATTGGTTGAAGGCCAAAATTAGAGGACAAGATAACAAAGCAACTTGGTGATATGTGGAAGTAAACAATCTCTCGTCCTACATTTCCTGTGTTGACTACTATCATGTGCCAGATGACAAATGTCATACAAACATAGCAGCTCTATCTGTAAAGGTCCTGTGATACTCAAATATTAAACCTTGAAACCTACCATACAGTATATGTGAAAGCCAAAAACTCATTACATTAACAGACACATGAACCCAGCAATGTTACAGATTCCGTGTCTTGGCTGAGGTATGAAAGGACGTCTGCCAGGATGAGTGTGTGTGCTCTAAACTTAAGAGCATACTACAAGATTATCTGTGTTCTGCTTTATCTGTGTTCTCTCTCTAGCTTGGCAATGGCAGCTTGCTACAGAGTAGCATAATGCGTACAAGAAACCTCTTTAGAGTGTTTCATCAAGCCTGTGCCCAGGTTATGTATTCATTTCCTCTTGCAGGTGTCAAGCCTGATTGTTGATTTTATTATTATTGCCCAATGTTAGCGTTGTTTTTGGCAGCAACCGAGCTGCACAGCACAGTGACTGGCCTGTAGGAATACTGTAGACAAAGGCATGTATAGTACTTGGATTTTTTTTTTTTTTGCTGTCTATTGCATTTTTGATGGTCTTGGGTGTTGTTACACATTTAGATTGTTTGAGATTCTGCACCTCAAGGAATAGTGGTCTGTATTACTGCAAGTCTCCTGCTTGTTTAAAAGATTGTTTCACTGTTTTCACCCCAACTGTTCTTCCACAGATCCTTGACAACTGGAAATACCATAAACCAAAGGTTGCCTCTTATTGGCTAGTGAAGCTGGACTCAACCAAACAACGGAAGGTGAGGAGTCCTGCTGGAATCATATTGCAAGATATTTGAGTCGGTTTACTTCTGTCTTGTCCAATCAACAACTAGAAGATGGTCTGGCTTCAGGTCTTTGGTAGCTGCCAAAGTTCAGCAGAATATCTATTCAAGATTTTCACTACCTAAACTACTTCAAAGCACAGAGACACCAGATTATTTCAAAGCTGTCTGATCTTTGCAATAATATGGACAGAAATTCATTAAGTAGCCAAGAGCATAAGTCTAACACACATCAAGAGACAGTTCACCAAAAAGAGATAAAGGGAATAGAGAAGGAGAGGACCTCTTGAAATAAAATGCATAGTTGTTGTAGCCTGAGGGACAGCTGTGGCGTAATATAAATAAATTGTATTAAAAGGAGTGCCTGCACACTGGAATCACATCTCCCCTTAATGATATTAACAAAGCTTTGACCCACTACAAGCCTACCTTGGACAAATACCTACAAGAACAAATGGTGGTGTGTGTGTATATACACACACATCTTGATATAGCCTAAGATGACAGAGGTATGCCTGTTTGTGAGCTAATGTAGATGACGAAATAAAAGTGGCCTTGTTATTAACGTTTATGCTGGCCTTACACTAGAAGACTATAAGAATAAGAAAAGTCTTTTAAAAGGCTGAAGTCTTACACCCTCTCACATCTAAGGGCAATGTGTCATTACTCACACAGAGTTTTAGTCACAGACTATGATTTTGCAAAGACTGGGGATCTTGCATGGCCACTATTTACAAGGCTGCAACTCGATTTCTCTTAAGACTACTTCCCATCATGCTCCTGGTGGGAAGAAGAAAGAACTAAAAATGGAGCAGCATTTGGCTACAGCTGCACTTGTGTGTGCAGCATTTTGCTTGAAAAAACAGCAAAAGTGAAAAAGAGAAGACACTGCAGAATGTGGTCACGACCCTGCAGGGGACAGCAAGGTCTGTCCACTTTTCCTCTTTGTCCACTCTATCCTGGTACAAATTGGATGACATGCCAAAGAGGCACTCTTGGTCACTCCACAGTTTCTCCTCCTTTGTAACGGTCCAACAGAACCGTGCCTTCGGAGGCCTCATCAGAGTCTCCATCATATTTACTGCTGTTTGTCTGTCCACTATGCTGCTTCCTGTTTGGTGCTGAAGAGGGCTCACCTATCGGTTGTGTACAATGCTCACGTCACTGCCTGCGAGAACCCAGAGTAAGGGCTTGTGAAAAAAATTAAACATGGTTGATTTTATCAGAATGTCAAGATGAGAAAAATATAAGAGTACCAGCTTACACCAAATGACTGAGATGACGGGGGAGCGACACAGCTGTAGCAAAACTCTCATGATTTCATTCTGAAATTGGAAATTTGTCTATGCCAGGTGTAAGGCCAGCATTAAGTAACTGAACTCCTCAGTCACTGTCGTCACAGATAATGCTTCATTTTTAGATATGTACATTAATTCTGAAACTCTTAAAAATGTGCAACATTTATCTTTTGACACCTGTATAAATTGCTTTCCTCTGTCCCTGGTGCCTAAACGGTAGTTTACTGTCAACCTGTATACAGAGGATGTTAAAAAACTGATGACCATGACAAAATGTCATTGGTCCTTCCTATTCCTTGGAATGCTTTTGAACAACTTTTAACAACAGGAAAATCAGCAAATCACATATCAGAGAAAAAATTGAAAATAAGACCAGCATGAAGATCATTACCATGTCAGACAGTAAGAGGTAGTGACGCCAAATAGATGAAAACAAAACAAAACAGGGGCCAAGACGTCAAATGGCATCCAGTAGGCGTGTCAGTAATGATGTGATCTCTCAACCACTGGTTTGTGCTCAGCTGTGCCCGGCTGTATTGTGGGCTGTGGTAGTGCGAGCTGATGTTTTATTTGGAGTGGAGCAGCCTAATGAGCAGCAGGCAGAGGTCAGGACTGGAGCGCCCACCGCTCTGCCATCTGATTACCATAGCAGAACATATCTGTGTGTGTGTTTACTCATCTATCAGTTTGAGTGTGTATGCATCT